GGCACCTCCAAACGTTTGGCATGTTAAATGGCACTTAGAATGCAGGTTCGCTGAGAGCAGAGAATCTGTCTATCATGCTCCTCAGTATATCCCTGAAACCCAGCACAGTGCCTGCCTCCCAATAGGCACTCCGTAAATTCGTGTTCGGTGAAGGTCCTTCTATCTGCCTATTAGGGGTCTGTGTGACTTGTTTCCCTAGAAGCCCAGAAGGTCTTTGAAGGGCTGGATTGTGGGGATTTTTTTTAATATGGGGCCAAGCCAATAACCTCAACCTCTGCCTCCAAGAGATTTACATGGAAATAAAATACTAACCCACTCAGTCCACCGAGCATCCTTCTTTCTATGGCTTCCCTGCTGTCAAAATGTATCCTTTCATGCCTGGGCATTGTTGACTCCATTGTTGACATCCTGCCTCACTCAGCAGCTCCATCTGGTAGTCAGATTCTTCCTCCCTGTTTGAATTCTATATCTATGTGTTTAAATAAGCCAGAAAACACTCACTTTGCCAGCTCCAAATTAGTTCTTCCTTTCATGCCTTTTCTGTTTCCTGGCTCCACGCCAGAATCTCCCTCCATTAGAATTAGGAAACAGTGCTCAGAGTCATATGTCTTCACCTAGTTAGCACCTCTCTTCTGGGACAGTTTCTCTTATGGTGGCTCCCACACATGCCAGGCTTTTCTCCCAGTAATTCCCAGGTTGTTAGTGTCAGGGACAGGGATGAGGACGTATGAGTCTGAGCTCTGACTTTCAGTACATGTGTGGGGAGGGGGTGGGGAGGGTTCATTGTATTGTCACATGTGGCATTCTGTCACGGTGATTGAAGGAAACAGTTTCTTGGCCACGTGTCCAGGATGTGCTTTAAGGAAGCCAGGAAGGATTGCTCATATTGTATAAAGGGCTATGTTTGAAATCTTTAAATAAATAACAAAAGCTTGTCTCTCCTTCTTGTCTACCTCTCCAGTTTTTTTTTTTAATTTTTATTTTTTATCCTGAGTTTTACAAAGATATCTCGAATTAAATGACCCCAAGTCAGGGTTCCATAAAAGTCATTAGCCAGCAAAATCTTTCCCTCTGCGATGGCCTGTCCTGGGAAGTTGCCTCAGCTCTGCCCTGCCCCTCCAACCTCCCCTACACCCCCGTGTACTGTTCTTCACAGCACTTCCCACTCTGTGCTAGGATTATTGGTTTCCTTGCCTCTCCCTCCCTCCCTTTCTTCTCTATTCACCCAGACTCTGGCTTGTAATAGAAGGTCAATGAAAGTCTGTTAAGTGAATAAGTAAGTGAATGAAATTTTCATGACATCTAGTTATTTCTCAGATTTCGACTAAGCACTGTTGTACAGTACCACAAAAGCAGAAATGACCTGAGGGAAATCTCATATGCGATTATGGAATTATTTTTTAGATTTTAAAGCATACTCCTTTTGCATTCTTCCCATTTCCATTACCTACTACTTTGTGACAACCGCCTCCCGTTATTTCTTGTGAGTCTGGGATTGACAGAGATCAGCTGGCGGTTCTTCAGCCCCAAGTGCAGTAGCTAAGGCTACTCAGGAGACTGCACTCACCTGGGAGCTGCGGCTGGAACATCCTGGATGGCCTCTTATCTTCTCAAGTCTTCCTCCACGGGGTTGCTCATCATTCAGTAATTTAGCCCAAGCTTCCTTACAGATGGCAGAAGGACTTGAAGCAGGAGCATTTCAAGAGGACAAGCCATATGCTGATCATGTCTCTGTTCCATCATATTTGCTGCTGTTCCATTGGCCAAGGCAAGTCACATGCCAAGTCCAAGAGTCAATGTGGAAGGGACTACACAAGGGCATGTAATAGTCTACCATACTTCCCATCCTTCCTAAATATTTCCTTGTCTCACATTCTGATGGTCCTAATGCACCTTGTTGATTGACTCCCTTACCGTGAGTTGGTCAACAACATGTATTGAATGCTGACTTGGTGCCAAGAGCCCTGGAGTGACAGGAAATAGGATCCTTGCCTCAAAGAGTATATTTTTTATTTGGGGACCTACAAGATACATCTTTGAAAAGATTTTAAGCCATTCATCAGTGTTATTTATGCATATCAAAACTGTTAGTCACTAGAGGCGGTGAAATAAGCGTAGTGAAAAATTTAATTATCAGAGTTAATATATGATCCAGATTGACCTCTATTTCTGTGCAGACAAGACTTTTGTTTGTTGATGCTGATTCTAAGGATGAGGACTCCAATAATTCTCTTAGTAAAAAACAGTCCTGTTAATAAAACATAGTTGTAGCTCTTTGTCATGATTATCGCAATCTTTATAGTTCTTTTGTTTATCATTTAGTTTCCTTTCTCTTAATCACTCACCCAAATGATCATCCAAAGCTACCCTGAGGGAAGTGAGTGAGAGGCAACATCATCTAAGTCAGTGGGCCTCACAGTGTGGTCCTTAACCAGCAACATCTCGAAAGTTGTTAGAAATGCACATTCCCAGGCCCTGCCCAGACCTGCTGAATCAGAAACTCTGGAGGCGGGGCCCAGCAGTCTGTGTCTTAACAGCCCTCAGTGATTCTGATGCACAATTAAGTCTGAGAACTACTACTTTAAGGACCACAACGTTAGGCCATGGTTTTTAATGTGGTGAGGCTACAGACAGAACGTTCATATCCCCCAGATTCCTCTGTTGAAACCTGATCCCCAACGTGATGGTATTCGGAGGTAGGGCCTCTGGAAGTGATTAGCTCAGGAGGGTGGAATGCTCCTGAATGGGGTTAGCATGTATAAGAGACCCCAGAGAGCTCCCTTGTCCCTTCCTCCACGTGAGGACACGGTGTGATAAGACAGCGATCTATGAACCAGGAAGCAGGTTCTCACAAGATCCCAGATCTGCCAGCACCTTAATCTTGGTCTTTCCAGCCTTCAGAACTGTGGGAAGCCTATGGTGTTCTGTTTAGCAGCCTGAACAGACTAAGACAGGTGACTTAGCCAGAGCAGGTAAGTCTAATTATAGGATGACTGCTCACATACCTGCCCTCTGGTCAGTGTTGCAGCGTCTGCACTAACAAGCAATGAAAGATGAAAAGTGATGCTTTCAGTAAAATCACCCAGCTTTTCAGAGGTAAGAAATTCTCTAGAGCATTTCTGCAGTATAAATTTGGCATGTTATGTGTACTAATTTAGACATACCAATCAAAAAGTCGTTTTTATTCCTCTTCTCTAGAAATTTTGTACAGATGCTCAGAATTCCAAGTTTAAGTATCTGCTAGAGGAACTCTCGGGTGGAATTGTCTCATTTTACTCTTTCTTTTCATTTTCCCACTACACCCCAGGCGAGAATGGTGGATGAGAAATCTGAAAATCGGGTCAGGAAGAAAGCAATCAAACTTCTTTGAAAAAAGTTTATCCCCAGACCCAAGATGAATATTGTAAAGAACTTCATCTTTCCAGAATTGTCAAGCCATCTGGCAAAACAGCTGACTGATACAATTTCTATTTCATTGACCAGATTCTCATAGCCGCTTCTTCTTTTCCTCATAAGTGTAAATATTTTCCAGTTAAATCTTTGGGGTTGGCAGTAGTGGTGTGGGTGGCTCTTCAATGAAGGGCTGTTGATTTTTTCTTTTTAAAACTGAGTGGAGGCAATTTTAGAATTATGAATTAAAAGCCTTACACATTCATATCTTTGATTCAACAGTAGCATATCTAGGAATTTATACCAATGAAGTAATTAAGAATGTGTGCAAAAAATGGCCATAAAGCATTTATTTCATCATAATTTATAATAGGAAACAACTGAGAACAACCTAAGTATTCAACAATAGAGGATTGTTTAAAAAAGCATGTACTTGCGTACATACAACTGAGCAACTACAGCCGCTAAAATGACAATCGATACAGATTGTGGAAGAATATTAACTGCCATGGAAAGATGTTCAGAATATATTATCAACAGGAAAAAGCAGATTTCAAAATAGTATATACAGCTACTTTATACCCATTAGGGTATACATCTATATATTTTAAAAAAGAAAATAACAAGTATCAACGAGGATGTGGAAAAACTGGAACCCTTTACACATCACTGGTGGAAACACAAAATGGCGCAGCCACTGTGGAAAACGGTTTGTCAGTTCCTCAAAAACTTAATCAGAATTATCACGTGCTCCAGCAATTCCACTCCTGGATAGTCAATTCCAAAGAACCGAAAACAGGATTCAAACAGATACTGCACACCAATGTTTATAGCAGCATTATTCACAACAGCAAAAGCTGGAAACGACTCAAGTGTCCATCAACAGATAAACAAAATATGGTGTATTATTTAACCATAAAAAGGAAGGAAATTCTGACGCATGCTACAACGTGGATGAACCTTGAAAACGCTATGCAGGATGAAATAAGAGAGCCGCAAAAGGACAAATATTGCATGGTTCCTCTTATATGAGATATGATTCACTTACATGATGAATGGGCAAATTTGTGAGACAGAAAGTAGAATAGTGGTTATTGGGGGCGGGGAGGAGGGGAGAACGGGCAGTTACTATTTACTGGGTAGACAGCTTTTGTTTGGAATGATGAAAAAGTTTAGGGAACAGGTAGTGGTGATTGTTACACAACGTGGTGAATATTCTTAACGCCATTGAATGGTTCACTTAAAAATGATTAAAATGGTTGATTTTATATTGTGTATACTTTATAACGAGAAAAAAGAAAAAAGGGAGGGGTCGGGGTGGGAGAAATGGGTGGAGAGGGTCAAAACTACAAAGTTCCAGCTATAAAATGAATAAATCATGGAGTTGTAAAGCACAGCATGGTGATCATAGTTAGGATTACTGTATCGCATATCTGAAGGTAGCTGGGAACGTGGATTCTGAAAGTTCTCATCACAAGAAAAAGAAACTTTGAAATTGTGTGTGGTGACAGATATTAACTAGACTTATTTGGTGATCATTTTGCAACATACACCAGTGCTGACTCATTATGATGTACACTTGAAACTCACACATGTAATGTTACGTCAATTATGCCTCAATTTTAAAAAAAAGAAAACAAGGTAAAAAAAGAAAAGATAGTATATAAAATATAATATTTTCTACACATTATGACACCCACATATATCTTTGGTTTCAAAATGTCATCATTTGTAGGAAACAACATTAACTTACTAAGAGCCTTTTTCGACAAAAGAAAATGCTGCCATGGGATATGTACCCAGAGACTCAATCTGATTTCAGAGATACCAAACTTTGAAAAACTTGCCTCTTAGAAATTAGGAAATGTATACAATAGCATGGAAAAAAGTCTGGAAGATGCTTACAGCCAATATTTTGGGTGATGGAATTATGAGTGTTCTTTCTTACTCTATTTTTCCTATATGTATTTTAATATTTTTCTGTGTACAGTACTATTTTTGTAATAGCATTTTTAAAATCTAATTAAAGAAATGCTTTTTCTGGAATGATTATTTTGGAATGCAAGAATTTACAATTCAGCCTACAACACACATTCCCACCAAGAAAATAATGCCAGAGAATTAAAATCAATGTGAAAAGACCTGCCTTCACTCAGGTCACGGAAACTAAGTTCTTTTTCGCTTCATCCAACTTCCCGGTGCCTGGCGTTCCCATCAATATTTACACACTCCATCATTCCTCGGGTTATTTATTTTCCTTGGTCCATTTTGCACGGTGACTAAGTTTTGCAGCGTAGAAGTTGACAGAATTTGTCGCTGATATCAATCTTTATTAAGTTTACTGCTGAGAGCTCAGAAAATGGCGGTTCTGGAGCAGGGCACAGAGCGGGAGCAGGAGGAGCGCGTGGCAAGGAGAAAAGCTGCGCTTCCCTGTTTTAAAAAGCGCTTGTCGTTGTTGCTCAGAACCTCAATTTACCGATGTTTACATTTCTCTGTGATGCTTTTTATGTTTTACGCAAACAAACAAAATCTATAGCTCTGCTCACCAGTCACTATCACCATGAGGTAAAAAGGGACAATCTTCACTGTCCCCCATTGTCCTGGGGCCTGAGGGCTGAATCCCAGGGGCTTGGGTCCGTTGCACGGCCAACCTCTCACCAAGAACTTGGTTCTGTAGAGAAATCTTCATACTCCAAGGTCCTTCTGGAGGTTCTGAAACTGAAGACACAAAGACTGTGTGTAGAGGCAGTTTATTGTTTGTGTCTCCTAGTGTGTGTGTAAAGAGCAAGGGCTGTACAAAGAGCCCTCCTCCTGGCTTCCCCGCTTGCTAGCTGTGTGATCTCTGACACATTACTCAACTGCTCTGTGCCTCCATTTCCTCACCAGTCACATGCGACGGGCAATACTCCCTTCTTGTCTTAGTCAGCTCCTACTGTTACAACAAAACACCATAGACTGTGTGGCTTCAACAACAGACATTATTTCTCACAGTTCTGGAGGCGGGAAGTCCGAGATCAAGGTGCCAGCATGGTTGGGTTCTGGGGACAGCTTCTTTCTGGTTTGCAGTCACCTTCTTGCTGAGTCTCCACCTGGGGAAGAGCAGAGAGAGGAAGCAAGCAATCTCAAGTTCTTTCTTACAAGGGCTCTCACCCCATCATGAGGGCTCCACCCTCATCCCCTAATTACCTCCCCAAGGCCCCCCTCCTAATACTATTCCATGGCGGGTGAGGGTTTCAAAATATGAATTTTGGGGAGACACAAGCATGCAGTCTGTAACACTACCTCATGCATTGTTATCAAATAAGTTAATACATTTCAAGTACTCAGAAGAGCACGTGGCGCATAGGCAAACAAAGATTAGTTTTTATTATTATAACTTGGAACAGGTTCCCAGGAAAGCCAGAAATTCTCCTGGTGACTTCGTTTTCACCTTCCCCAGGAAGACTTGGTAGTTCTTTCCCACTGCAGATTTGTCCAAGAAAGAAGTGCCACTTTTTTTTTTTTTTTTTGGAAGGGGAGGGAGATTTGCCCTGAGCTAAAATCTGTTGCCAATCCTCCTCTTCTTTTGCTTGAGGCAGATTCACCCTAAGCTAGCATCTGTGCCAGTCTTCCTCTACTTTGTATGTGGGACGCCGCCACAGTGTGGCTGATGAGTGGAGTAGGTCTGCCCCCAGGATCCAAACCTGTGAACTCCAGGCCACCAAAGTGGAGAGCACAGAACTTTAACCACTCAGCCACAGGACCGGCCCCCAGGAAGTGCTACTTTTAAGCTGGTCTTCATGTTGTACTTTGTTAGTGTTGGTTGACAGTCTCCAGCAATGAGGCTAGGCAAAAGAACGCTAGCAGCCAAAATTAATGCAAAAACTTGCCTAGTGTGCAGCCGAGGGACATGGAACAGGCCAGTTTAAACAGAGCCGCTAACAGTACCAGGGTTAAAGCTCTCAGCCAGTGTCTCAGCTTAGCATCATCTTACACGCAGAAGAACATGTGATAAATAGTTGGGTCATATCAACCTTTTAGCTATTCTGCCAAGCATGAAAATTAGTTCCATAAGCAAAATACCTGAATTAACTTTTGAACTTTTTCTTGTTGTTCTTGAATAAATTTTTACAAAGTGAACACACTCATGGATTCACTGCCTAAAGATATAGAACATTCCTATCATTCCAAAACCTTCTAATAACTTCTGGTTATATTAACCACCTCCATCCCTAAGGTAACCATCCTTCTGACTTGAATCATCATAGATCAGTTTTTTTTTATTTTTGAACTTTATATAAATGGTATCTTACATAAGTACTTTTTTGTGTCTGGTTCCTTTCTTTCTTTTTTTTTTCTTTTTTGCTGAGGAAGATTAGCCCTGAGCTAACATCTGTGCCAGTCTTCCTCTACCCTATACGTGGGTTGCTGCCATAGCATGGCTGATGAGCGGTGTAGGCCTGTGTCTGGGATCCGAACCCATGAATCTAGGCCACTGAAGCAGAACACAATAAACTTAACCACTAGGTCATTGGGCTGGCCCCTTGTGTCTTTTTCTTTTGCTCAATATTATGTCTGTGAGAGTCATCCATAGTGTTTCATGGAAGAGTTTGTCCTTTTTCATTGCTGTGCCGTATGAATATTTTATTGTAGTAATATGCCACATAAATATATCCATTCTACTCTTGATGGGCATTTAGTTTGATTTAAGTTTGGGGTTATTGCAGATAGTGCTGCTGTGAGCACATTGTACATACCCTTTGTTGCACAGATTTCTGTTGAGTATACACTTATACATGGAGTTGCTGAGTTACAGGGTCAACGCATGTTCATCTTTAGTGAGAAATGCCAGTTTTCAGTGTTTGGACCAGTTTAAACTCCCACTGGTTATACAAGAAGTCCCCATTTCTCTATATCTTCTCAAATACTTGTTTCTGTTTATTCCTTTTTTTAAATTTTAGCCTTTCTGGTTGGTAGGTAGTGGTATCCCATTGTGGTTTTTATTTTTATTTCCCATATGGCTAATGATTTTGAGCAATTTTTCATATATATGAATCCACCATTTGGATATCACTGCTTTAAAGTGCCTGCTCAAGTCTTTTGCCCATTTATTATTGGGTTATCTCTTCTTTTTTAAAAAATTAAATTTTGTGTTCTTTGCATATTCTGGATACAAGTCCTTCGTCTGATTTATGGGTTGCATATATCTTCTCCCAAACCATCGCTTGCTTTTTCATTCTCGTACGAGTGTCTTGATAAACAGAAGTTTTCAAATTTTATGAAGATGAATTTAACAGGTTTTTCTTTCGTAGGTAGTACTTCCTACGTCCTAGTCATAAAGTTTCCGCCTAGCCCAAGTTTATAAAAATATTATCTTATTTTATATTCCATAAGGTTTATTATTTTATCTTTAGCATATAGTTCTACAATCTGTATAAAGTTGATTTTTGAATATGGTGAAACAAATGGGTTAAAATTCATTTCTTTTTTATCCATATTGATCCAGTGTCATTTATCGAAAAGAAATAAACTTTCAGCTCTGCATCGCAGTGTTAGTTTTGTTGTCAATCATATGATTTAAGTATGTAGGTCTACTCCTGGACTCTTTACTCTGTTCTAATGGTCAACAATATCACACTGTTTTAATTACTGAAGTTTTATAATACTTCCCAATATCTGGTACTTCAATTTAACTATATTTCTTCAAGATTGTCTTGGCTATTTTTTGCCCTTTCATTTCCATATAAATTTTATAATTAGATTGTAAATTTCCACATACGCTAGAAAAAAAACCTCCTTAGATTTTGATTGGGATTACATTAACTATAGACGACGTCTTTGCCAACACTAATTCTCGTAGTCCAATGAACACGGAATACCCTTCCATTTTTTCAGGTCTTCCTTAATTTCCTTTAGAAAAGCTTTATAGTTTTCTGGGTAGTAGTCTTGAAAAACTATTTCTAGCCTAAGTGTATCATTTCAAATTTTTGTTTTCTGATTATTTTGCTGATCCAAGACTACAAATGATTTTTACATCCTGATCTTATATCCAATGGCTTTGGTAAACTCACTTATTAAATACTATAGTTTATCAGTGGATTCTTTTTTATTTTCTATATATCTAAGTATGTGTTCTGTATATAATAATTTTTTTAAGATTTCTTTGCAATCTTTTTAACTCTAATGTAATAAATCCTCCAATGAAATGTTGGATAGAAGTGATGATAGCTGAAATTCTTGTCTTATTCCCAATATGGGAAAGGAAGATTTCAATCCTCTACCATTAATTATGATACTCACCATGGTTCTTTTGTGTATAAGCTTTATCAACTTAAAGAAGTTTTTTAAATTCCAAATTTACTGAGAAGTTTTTTTTTTTTGTCCTGAATGAATGTTGAATTTTATCAAATGATTATAATGCACCTATGGAGATGATGATATGATCTTTTTCCTCCATCTGTTAATACGGGGAATTTCACTAACTGATATTGGAATGTTAGGCCAACTTTGTACACTTTGAATAAAGCTAATTGGGTCATGATGTATTGCCTTTTTATACATTGAAGGATTCAATTTCTTTCTTTTTTTTTTAAATTCTTTTAAAGATTGGCACCTGAGCTAACAGCTGTTGCCAATCTTCTTTTATTCTTCCTGCTTTTTCTCCCCAAATCCCCCCAGTACATAGTTGTATATTTTAGTTGTAGGTCCCTCTAGTTGTGGTATGTGGGACGCCCCCTCAGCATGGCCTGATGAGCGGTGCCATGTCCGAGCCCTGGATCCGAACCAGTGAAACCCTGGGCCACCAAAGCGGAGCTTGCAAACTTAACCACTCGGCCGTGGGGCCAGCCCCAATTTATTTCTATTTTGTTTAAGATTTTTGTGCCTATGATATAAGAGGAATTACGCTATAATTTTCTTTTCTTGTAATATCCTTGTCAAATTTTAACATCAAGGTTATGATAGCCTCATGAAATGAGATAGAAAATATTTCCTTTATGTCTATTGTGTGGAAGAATTGCTGTTATTTCTATCTTAAAAGCATGAGTTCATGTTGAAGTCATCTGGACCTGGAATTATCTTTGAGGGAAGGTTTTTCATTTTGAATTTGATTTTTTTTTAATAGACATAGGATTGTTCATGTTTTTCTGTTTTTTCCTGTGTCCATTTTGTAAGTTATATTTTTCAAGGAATTTTTCTACTTTGAATTATCAAATTTATTGGCATAAATTTCTTTACAATTTCTTTTAAAAATCTGTTGACACTGTAGCAACTTCTCATTTTTCATTCTTTATCTTGAGAATTTGTGCAGTCTCTTTTTTTTTCTTATCAGGCTTGTTAGGGCTTGTCAACATTATCAGTCTTTTTAAAAAACAATTTCTGGTTTTGTTGGTTTTCTCTACTTTTTGTCTGTTTTCTATTTCATTGATTTCTGCTCTTAATTTTATTGTTATATTTCTTCAATTTTCGCTGTATTAAATTTCTTCTAGCTTCTTGAAATGGATGCTTAAATAGTTAATGTCAGGTTTTCTTCTTTTCCCATATATGCAGTTAAAACTATAAATTTCCATCTTAGCACTGTTTTAGTCACATGTGACAAGTTTTGATATATAGTATTTTCATCTTTGTTTCATTCAAAATATTTTCTACTTTCCAATATGCTTTCTTTTCTGACTGTTTGATACTTAGAAGTTCATTGCTTAATTTTCAAACATTGGAAGATATTGTAGATACGATTTTGTTACTGGTTTCTAGCTTAATTCTACCGTGCTGTGAAAGCTTACTCTATCTGACTTACATTCTTTGAAATTCGTTGAGAGTTGCCCAGTATTTATTTAGTTTTGGTAAAATATTCCTTGGGCACTTAAAAAAGCTGTATATTCTGCAGTTCAAAGATACAATTTTCAACACATGTCAATTAGATCAAATTTGTTAAAAGTGTTATTCAAGTAGTTTATGTATCTAATAGTTTTATCAATTACTGGGAGAGAGTAGTAGTCTTCCACTGTATTTGTGTATTTGTCTAATTCTCATTTTGGTTCCGTCAACTTTTTAAGATTGTTATATCTTCCTGTTAAATTGACCCAGTTTTCATCAACTGAATTTGTTTGCT